TGGTCCATTCTGCACTTGTACATGGTTGATTGAAACAATCGCCCCCGAGCCTCGAAGAAACCCGGGGCTCTGATTGGTCGAGCCTCGATTGGTCCGGGATGTGTTGATTGAGCGTGCCTGTGATTGGAGGCTTGTGGCATGTTGTTGCCTTTGCGGGGATGGTTTGTCACCGTTTTTTTTTCTCCTCGCGCACAAACTCTCCCCAACACTAAACAATTGTTGTTGTTGGTTTGACTGCCGCCTGCGCTTCAGCAGTAGTGGTGGTCGGAGAGTGCAGCAGTCTACTCGTTTTTTTGTGGATGCCCCCCCGCGAAATCGAACATGGATCGGATTGAAGCGAAGAGAGGAAGCAAAAGGGCTGGTTATGCAATGTTGGTTTCCTTCGTGGTTTGACAATTGTTGGGGAGTCGGGGTGTGCTGCGCCCAACCGGGCTTGGAAGCAATGGGTTGCGTGCGGTGTGGTATTTGTATTGATTGCTCTTGGTCGGGTTGGGGGGGGGGGGGCAAGGGATGTTTTACGTGATGTGGTTGTTGGGTGGTGCGATGACACCGTGACCTACCTGTTGAGTTGAGCGATGTGTTTGTTGCAGGAGGCAAGGCGCTACTTCACTACGGTTTGTTGATGGAGCGCAGGAAGGACGGGAGCTATTTATGTCTATCGGTTGGCAAGCGTTGGAGTTGTACATTTTTGGGACGTTCGTGGTGACACCAAGACTAATCTACTTTCTTCGTACATGTATGCATATTTGACTTTTTCTCAGGGTGACAATCGCGACAAGTTTTTGGCAATGAATCGCGATTGTCATGGCCTTGGAACAACATGCCCAGCGAGCTCTCCATGATGAGTCACAGTCACGGGCGCCTTTGGTCTTCGATAACGACAACATCAACCACAACGTCAAGTCGACTTCTTTCGGCATGCGTGTCTTTGTCATGATTAGCTTCGACAGCGCCAGCCGGCTCACCAATGAAAAGGCGCACGTGTCACCCACTGAAAACAGAAAGCGCTTCTTGACCCGTAGGTCATTTTCATGGGAGATCTACAGTTGTAGGCCATTCTCCGGACTAAAAGGCGGAATGCGTGTTCGTCCCATCTATTCTCTTAGCGCCACCTCAGGCTCCACTTTTAATAACATGTTTGGCGTAACCAGCCGGGGTCACAGACAGGACCAAAACAATTACACAGCTTTTTAACGTTTTATTAGTACCCCCGCCTTCTCCCTTTCCCTTCCTCCCTGCGGTGCTTCGCCTTCGATTTTTTTATACTTTTTTTTTTAACACACCGTGGCGGGTCAACAAAATGTCACCCAACACCGAAAATACTCCGAGTTTTCCCTGCACCATCGACACAGAAAACTCTCCTGGCTCAACTGTAGTTAGGGCGACTAGATTGCGCGTGTTGTCTCTCTCCTCAAGCCCCACCCGTTTTGTGAACCTCCTTTTCGTCGTCCAATTTGATTTTGACCACACTAAAACCAGCCTCACACAATTACCACGACTTAGAACGAGAGCGACTCAATCAATCAGACGGAGATGCGGCGAAATTAGATCTAGCGAACATCAGCATCGCATGCCGCGGGGACCCCAAACTTCGCAACAAAACACGAGGGCAACCAGCACCAGCACACTTGATTCGACTCTTGGCGCGCCGCGGGGGGTCAAGCGGGGAAGGCAGTGCGATCATGCCTTGCATGCACAATACAATAAAAACTCTATATTTCCCCCCCCAAGCCCCGATCCGATCCGATCCGATGCCAGTTAGCCCAGAGTCATTCTCCGCTATGTTTTGAAAGACAAGGTGCCACCGTATTACTCTCTTATAGTACCTTGCCACAAAAGTCCATGTCTCATGTCACGTGTCCATTGCACTACTAGCAAGACCTCCGAATTAACGGTAACGGCACAAACGTCAGGTCGACCGACCGACCACGACACACAACGCAACGCAACAACAACAACACCAAAAATAAACTATTATAGTATGGCAAATTATGGAGAACGAAGCATACAACAACAGGACAAAAAATCAAATCAGGGGCCGGCCTGAGCTACGTACAAGAGACGAGACGATGTGTCTCCACACCCGCGGTGGCGAAGGAAAAAAAAAAAATCCTGCTGTTTCGCACGTACAACGGCCATGCACAATGGGGGGGGGGGGGGGGGGAAAAAAAATAGGGAACAACCCCCAACCAAGCGGAAAAAACTTCCGAGCGGGAACGAGATGTCCAATTTGGAATTCATCTGTCCAGCATGCATCATCACTCGGCACCACCAAAATGGCAGCAGGCAACGCCGCCCTGACGCCGGGCCGGCGCACCAACTTTCAACGGTACTCTTGGTCATCCGTCCAACGGTACTCTCGGTCATTCGCCCAACCCTTGCCGTTGGTCCAACGGTACTCACATTGTGCGCCCAACCGTATCCTAACGGGTCAATCTGCAGCAATCTCACTTGTAAACCTCGTTGAGAGAGCGGCCTACCGGCGCTCTCCCTGCTTTTTCTCTCTTTTTGGTATTTCGTCCAGCAGACTCCTTCTCGACCGTACCCCTCACCACCACCAACGGTCCTCTCCTCTCAATGCTCTCAATGCCGTCGACACCAACGGCGCTCAGCGCGAGCAAGCCGCGCTCCCCGTCCCTCGAGCGGCGGCAGTTGCGCCGTCACCTCTCCTGCCTCGGTCGTGTTCTACGCGTAGCCCTCACAGAGCGCCGACGAAAATTGCTTGCCCAACGGCACTACGGCCTCGCCCCCGTGAAGAGAACGGTACTCTTTCAAACTTGGTGACCCCGGCCAGGGCGAGAGGCAACGCGATTTATGCTGCGGTTACGCTAGCCATCACCTCCTCGAGGGTGACAGGGGCGCCCTTGTTGACGATAGACTTGAGACAATCCTGATGATCGACACAGCAAGACGGAGGCGGAGGAATTAGCATTTTTCTGGCGACGGTGACTACGCTGCCGCGCCGGCTGCTGCAAAACTGACCGAAACTGGAGCGGAATACTGTACGGCAACGAGAGGATGCACGGCAAATAATATCGTCACATTTATTTCTTCATCTTCAACTGCAAGCACCGTTGCAATACACGTGCGTATGGCTTTACCCAGAAATCAAAAACCAGGCCCGGAGTATTGTGCAACAGACGGGACACATCAACCCCGAACTTGCTAAAAATACCGTCATACATTCAAAGTCTAGGGCCGAAAAAAAAAAAGCTGGTACAGGATTAGATCAAGTCTGTGTACAGACAAGGGCCCTCATCAGTACCGGTTGAATAGTGGCGACGCCCAGCAGCAGGGCCGGTGTTTTGGGCGGGCACAGGCTGCACCACCAAGTAATTCAGTGTTTTCAATAGTGCCGGTATGCTGGTCTGCTCCATACCGGCACTACTGGACCGCCTTCGCAAGAAATTACAAGTTAGTGAGGAAATAGAACAGGGAGGGGGTACGCAGAATATATTCCCTGACCCTGTAACCCTAACCCTAACCCCAACTTCCCGAATTGTGTGCTTTATCCAACATGTTTACTGCGAAGGCTACTGCTGAAGGCCTTCCCTCACTACTGTACCTTGATCTCCTCCACGAAGCCTTCCAGTTCAACGATCTCCTGGCCGAAGACGAGCTCAATGTACTTCTCGGGCTTGGGCTCGGCTCCCGTGTCTACGCCGTTGATCGCCTCCTCGGCGAGGTCTTGCAACTCGGCAGCCAGTGGGTCCTTGATCTGATAGAGGCAAACAATACAAGAATTGAGAGAAACAAACAAGACAAGAGTGGTCGATGTTCGATTTTTGTTGGAGGGGCTTTGGGGCTTTGGTCGATTCTTTTGTCGCTTCCTTGCAGAACAAAATAACTTTATTGTTCATCGATTGCAAGGCTTCCGCCTTCATTTTTATTTTCATGCAGACAAAGAAAAACAAAACCCGTTGATAGTATCCATGTATCCAAAGATACAGAACCCGGATTCGGATTAGGACATTTCCATTGAATTTTGCTTCGTTTGGGCATGTAACGAGCACACACGGAAGCAGGGCTCGCTGCCTATAGCCTCGCCTACAATACCACTACTATCATTTTACCCAAACGAATGATGTCCTTGTCACACGCTTACGATGTTCCTTCCCAGCCGTAACCGCGGACAATTTTGTTCAAATGTTTGTTGGTTTCAATGACCGCCCGCAATCGGTTCTAACTACTCATCAGCAACATGCTAAATAATTTACCGGTTTGGTCGTTGAGATCGAGTCTACAGCTCCTCTGCTCACCCCCTGGATGATGACGTCACCCCAAATGGGCCCCTTCCCCGTCATGTATCGGATCCACGCCGCGTTGGCCAGTGCGATGACCTTGGTAGACAGACCCTTCTCTCGCAGCTCCATCACCTGACAGACAGACAGACAGACAGACAGACAGACAGAGACATGGGTGGATGAGTTGGACGCAACATTGGAAAAAGAAAGGTCACGGCAATAGCAGCGCAAGACCGCACACACAGTCGTAAAATTGCTATTCTGGGCGTCTCAGCTGTTTCGTAAATACCGTCCCGTATGAAACCGTGCACCATGGTGTTTTTTTTGTCCCAGAGAGATATGGTGCCTCGAGGCACTCGAGCGCAGGCAAGAGAGTGATATGATATGATATGATATGATATGATATGATAGACTTGACTTGACTCACCGCTTCTTTGAGGGTGTTGGGCATCTTCTTTGACCCGTCCTCCGCTAGCCGAGTCAGCTTGTCCTTGATGTACGGGTTTCCTGGAAAATCAACGGCGTTGTGGCTGAGGGGTTCAGGGATGGCATGCTGATTTAACGACATTTGTGCATGAGTCTGATGCTCCCATGTGACGTATATTGCCGATACAAGGGACAGAACCATGTCCATCATGCACACAACGTCAATCGCGATATCGAAACCTCGACCGTGTTGCACGAACCGCCGCGACAGCCGAAACAGCAAATCACCGGCCGTTTCACGCGAACCGCAACAACGGCGACCGCAGCCCGAGCAACGCGAAAAACCCCACAACAACGCCAAGGAACCGATACCATGGTACCGCTGCACCGTAGCTCACCGAATCGCTCGACAAGCTTGGCCTGGTAGGTCTTGGTGTCTACGCCCGGTACCGGTAGGAGGGTAGGGGCGATCTCCTGGAAGAACGCGCTGATGAACCCTGCACCACGCATAAATTACATATATTTCATTAGTCATCGGTTCGTGCAGTCGATGTTGTGTGTTCATGTGTTTTACTTTACGTCCTACTCTGTATTTGTTGTGCGACAGTCCCCATTTTTCGTGGTGAGACGTTGCTACACTCTTCAGTGAATGCTAACAATAAAAATAGACACACAACACACACACGCGCGCCCGCGAGGTGGATGGTAAGCTATGAAACACACACACATGCGCAACACACCGACAAAAAAATGCGGAGCCCGGGCAGAAGGTCGAGTCTGCATGAGACTGACTCGCTTTCTTCCCTCCTATTAATAGGACCATGGCACGGCAGTCGCGCCGGGGCTCAACTGCTGTCGGTTTTGCTTCAAACTCTTTGTGTTTCGACCAGACCCGACATGTCATCACGATACGACAACAACAACTACAACTCGCGGTGGCCGTTACAAAACACAGAATAGGTAACTGTGCCATACGGAGGTAGAAAGGAGCCAGCGTGCGCAACGCCGCAGCCGCAATCGCAATCGCACCTGAGATCTGAGGGTCCGCCATGGCATCGTCCACGTAGCTGTAGCCGCACAGCACCGAGATGTACGACAGGCAGCTGTGCCCGCCGTTCAAGAGTCGGAGCTTCATGAACTCGTACGGCTTAACGTCCTTCACCACCAACCCGCCGACCTGATACATACATACATCGATCGATCGGACCGGAGCCAGTCCACGGTTGGTTTAGAAGGGGAAGCGGTTGGACAAGCGGGGCAAGAAGAAACACAAAAGTAAATGCACAACGTTCCATACGTACACAATTGCTGTGAGGTTGCAACGCGAAGCAATCCCTGATGCCCCTCGCGGGGACTCGCTGGTTGATGTAATCAACCCGGAGTGAGTACTCCGCACGCGTTATGATATTAAAAAGGGAAAACAAAGAAAAAGCGCTTCAAGATGTATCCCAGACCCTTACCTGTGGACCAACACGATTTTGGTGTGTTGATGAACTTCCAACGCTTAGACCTAAACTTGCATGTCGATGCCTACAACGATACGGTACGTACCTTGTCCCAGGCCGGCATGCCGTCGCAGAAGTTGTCCTCGATGACCCACTGAGAGAAGTCCTCCGCGATAACCGGCCAGGAGTCTTTGACCATGTAATCCCTGTTGTTGTGTTGTCCCAGGAACAAACAGGCAAACGTAACGTTATTTTTAACGAGACATGCAGTATGTACGTACAGCAAGTGCTGAGTCTAAGGCGATACATCAAGTGTTGAGTCTAAGTCGACAAAATCTTCCGCTACAAATACAAGACCGACCGAGTCAAAAAAAGTTCCAGTTCCGCGCTAGCTGCCCGACACTCACACTCACACCACTTGACGGCTGCCGCAGAGATGCGATAACACCAACACAGACGGACGAGTGACCGCGTCGCAACAGCAATATTTGTTTTTTGCTGAGCTGTTTCGGGAGGGAGAGCGGCATCACTCAGAAAAGACCCCGTGCTCCAACACCCTTCCCCCAAGTCGCGTGCATTTTTCGCTTGGTATGCTTTAGCATTTTGTACACAAACAAGCAAGAATCGTCCCCAATAGTCGTCGTGCGCAGGGCTTGATCGTGTCCACGTACTTTCCTCCCGGTCACAGTGCCGCCATCCGGCAAGCAAAAACACAGACGAAGAGATCAAATATTGTACTGGTATGAAATACACCGCTCCAAACCAACCAACCACCGGGAACAAACTACTTTAGGATGTTAGGCTCCCACCTTGCGACAAGCTCGATGTGCTCCGCCTCTGTCATGGGAGTGATTCGGTCGACCATCGTGTTGGGGAAGGTCGTGTTGGCCTCCACCCACTCCCTCAACTCTGGACTGACGTATCCCGCCATCTGCAGCACCACGTGCTTGATCTGGACTCGTCCAAACGATGCGTCCGAAACAAACATCGCACCACGTGAAGCAGTTAAGCAGGAGTTGCAGGAGAGGGAGAAAGGTGTTTCATGGCGGAAGGAGCAGTGAATGTGACACACACACACAGACAGACAGAGAGCAATAAAGAAGACAGAAACAGAGAGAACATCCGCATGGACCTATGGTACAGCCCAAACTTACCGGCGCCAAGGACGTGCGCAGCAAAATCTGCAAGGATCTATACCACCGCCACACACGAGGGTAACCAGCGAAACTCTGCATGCATCCCACAGCCTCGGCCAAGCAGCGCTGTATGCATACCACAACAGCGCACTTTACGAGAGGGCGGGTGCAGAATCTACAATAACGCACCTGAATCATACGTCCGACGCGTGGGGAATACTGCACACACACACACCTTGTCCCCGTTCTCCGGCAGGTTGTCGCACGACAGAACGGTGAAAGACGGCGTGCCGTTGTTCCTTCGCTGTCTCAACGCCGCTACGATCATCCCGATGGCCGAAGACGGCTTGGCGAGGTCCCCGTCCAAGTCGCTCTTCACCAACGCGTTCGTCTGGCCATTGAATTTAATACAAAGGTGGGGTTTTGGGGGGAAAAGTCTCAGGGTTAAATCGGGAGGGAAGTACAAAGGTGGGGGTTTTGGGGGAAAAGAGTCTCAGGGTTAGTCGGGAGGGAAGTACAAAGATGGGGTTTTGGGGGAAAGCGTCTCAGGGTTAGTCGGGAGGGAAGTGCAAAGGTGAGGTTTTGGGGGAAAGCGTCTCAGGGTTAGTCGGGAGGGAAGGGGGAGAGAGACGAGACATACACAGAGAGAGAGAGAAAGAGAGAGAGAGAGAGAGAGAGAGAGAGACGCTCTCCAAGGTCTCCGTGCGTCAAGTTGCGTTTCTCCAGCCTGAAATTCCACTGATCGGTACGAAAACATTAAGGATAGTGGAATAATAACAAACACACCAAGCACGCCCCTTTCCCAGCGAAACCAACGCACACGCCAGAAATCGCAAGAAAATAAATAAATCTGCAAACAGCAGTATGTGGGTGTCATCATCCTTCAAGCACTAGGCGTCGATCTTTCGGTTGTAGACAACAACACTACCAGCCTCAGCTTGTATCACCATTCGTGCTATTAGGCTGTACCGCAAATCTGCTACAAAGTGGGTATACATGTAGGGCATGCTCACCCTGTCCAAGTCGCCGTTCACGTCTTGGCAGTACCCCTTCTCCGTAACCGTCAACGAAACGATGCGGGTTTCCGCGTCCGAAAGCTGGAATAACCGCAAAAAAAACAAGAACAAAAACAAGAACAAAATGTGAGGCGGGCGAACGGGAAACAGAACAGATGGTCAAGTGTCAGTGTGCAAGAGGGCGGGTGATACACGACCTGTACTGTAACAGCACTGAACCATGCGCAGTGCCACGCAGAGGGGAAGATGGCAGGGCGGAAGCGCGTGAGATATCAAGCTCGTGACACGGCCAATTCTGCGAACAACTTGGTCGATACCATGAATTGAATACGGTAAATCAATCCCGTGTGTTGACTCTTTTTCCTACCCGAAAAAAAACGCGTCGGTAATCGCTAGTTAAGGGCTCTAATTCAAAAAAGTATCTGCCGGCTGGACGTAATAGGGGCTTCCGGAGGCTTGACAAAATGCGAGCATCTACAACAACACCAGCAGCAACAACACGACATCAGCAGCAGCAAGCAGCACAAGGTGACAAACCTTGTCGATGACGGCCTGGTGGTTTTCCGGCGCGAACATGAAGTCAACGATGGAGCCGACGACCCTGGCCTCCGAGCCCGTGTGCCCTCTCGACAGGAGTGTGTAAAGGTGGTCTTGTTCCTTGAGGATGTTGTACATCTTGCTGTCCCAAGGCATCAGGCCGATACCTACAATGCCCCACTTCTTTACGTCTACAGCAGTACCGGAATAAAAAAGGAAGGAAGAGAGAGACGGAGCGGGGATGGAGATTTACATGAACGCCTATCTGGCAGCAAAGTAGTGCTACATAGCATTGCAGAGAGAGGGAGAGAGAGAGAGAGAGAGAGAGAGAGAGAGAGAGGCAGAACAAAAATCGGACAGCGCGTGTGATGCACAAGCAGGTACCACCAGATCTGGCGACCGTCTCCTGACAAACAAAATCACAGCAAACAAACTGATGGGTACAATATCTCGTCCAATAAAAACAACACGGATTCGAGCGCGCCGAAACAAATAAAAAACGACTGAAAAGGACAGAACAATGTTAACCTTTTAACGGCTCCCCATATTCATTTTTGTTGGTTTTCGAAGACATAATAAGGAAGAAAATAATCAAGCCGCAGCCTCTTTCAATGACAAAAAAGGGGTGCATGTCCAATACTCTAAACCGGCGAATGTATAGACCAAGAGGTTCTCTTCTCCCTTCTCACCTGTGGGAGCCCCGTTTTCTGCCTCAAGTGACGCCGCGAGATTCAGGAGGTCATCAGTGTATACCGCTTGGTGCGACCTTCAAAAAACAAAAAAGAAGAAAAGGGGCGACACCACAAAAAATGTTCAGGACGGAGCCCTCTTTTCGGTCTCCAGCGCGTAGATATTAAGGAGATCGTCGTCAGCGCATACTGCTTGGTGCGGCCTTCAACGAATCAAAGAAAAATTATAAAAAAATGAAGGAGACGAGTGTAGTGTGTACTGGTGTACCAACACGTGAGACACTTTGACGCATCCTCATCCACAACAACGGAACAAGAGCACCAAAATCACCCTTTCTACGTGGACTCCGAACAAGCAGTGGTTCGCAGCAGCAAAAGGACGGAGGTAGAACAACGCATCAGGAGGATGTATGGCCCGAGCAGGTCATCTATCTCACTATCTCACCTGTGGAAGCCGCCAACACCCATGTGGCACATGTAGTGGTCGATGAATCGCCCGTCCCCTGGCCGCTGGTACTTGGGCTTGACGACGCTTGCAGGGATGACCTTCTGCTCAACCGAAGGACAAGGCCGCACAACAACGGTTACAACCGAACGAAGAGGTTTTAGCGTGAAATCATTGAGGGGGGGGGGGCGGCGTTCAGCCACAAGCGACGTGTATCATGCTAAAACCTTCCCGAAATGGCGACAAAAAAAAAGCATTTGTCAAAAAACAACAACATCCAAAACTTCTCAACATCCAAAACTTCTCTTGGTGGACACCTTCTTCGATTCCTCTTGCGTCCCCAAAAAAAACGATGCTGGTCCATGCTCAGTCACTCAACAATTCCTGCTGCAGCTGGCAACGTGAACCAATCAAATTCCGCAATATTGTACATTCGGGTTAAAAATCTCCTTAACGCACCCGCTGTTGCGTGGTAACCAGGATCTGTCCAACAATCCAGGCCATGCAGCCCAATGTACAGCTCACATGTGAGCGCTTACAACATGGGTACACCATTCCACTATCCTACAGCAGTGCATGCATGCCTTCATCTCCCCCCGCGGACTTTTTCTGCTCAACACTCAAGCGGAGTCATGTTTTGACAGAACCCTTCGCCAGGCGGACCAACAGACACGTTCGTCGTAACCTCGTAACGGGGAACAGGACGAAACGGCACCAGACGAAACGGTACCAGACGAAACGGTACCAGACGAAACGGTACCAGACGAAACGCAACAAGATGAAACCCACCTCCAGGTTGCCCTGGTTGAGGGCGACGGGCTCCGTCAGTTCAGCCTCTGCCATACCCGAGTAGGGGTTGACGTAGAACTTGAGCCAGTTCTCCTTTTCCTTGCCATCCTGAAAAAAAAAAAAGGAGAAGAGGAGACAAGAAACAAAAACGAAAAAAACATCCCGCCAGAAGAGAAACGATTGGGCGAGTACTCTACACTAACTAGGGTCTGTGTGAAACAGAGAACTAGTTGAGAAATATGATAGACGTATGAAACATCAAACACCCCCCCACACACACAACTCACGGGGCCCCAGATCATGGCGTCACGAAAGCGTGGTCCTGTCCAGAGACTGACTTCATTTCATTGGTTCATTTCATTGGTCAACCGGCTACCGCATTCGATGCTTACAGCAGTGCCTGAACACGCGCGTCAACCAAATCCGAGAGGCTGGGTCAACAGCAAGTGACACTATTTTTCATCCCTCTACCCCCACGGAACGCGTCCTCCACATCAGTTGGACCAGTACGGAAAGTGTCCAAGGTACTGAGCGGAGACCGGAAAGGTGTCTAAATGCGAACACAAACACAACGACGAAAATAATCCCCCTTCCGCTCACGTCCAGCTCGTTGCCGTCGATGATGGAGTTGCATCGGAAGAGGCTTCCCCTCCTGCTCAAGCCCCGCCCGGGCGTGTCGGGCTGCTTGAGCTGCTCCGTCGAGTTCACTCTCGTCAGGGGCACGGCATCCATCACAATCTGCCACGACAGGGCCAGCCACCATGGCACCCCACGCGGTCCAACAACAACAGCGACAGCGACAGCGACGCAAGACGACGGTGGTGTTGTAAGAGACCTGCGGCAGCGCGTGTCTGCGTGCATGTGTATACATTTCAATCTGCCGTGTACCTTATGCTGCGCGGAACAGACAGACTGCCGATTGGCAAGAGCTGTTGGCGTTCGCGAACGTGCCAATGTTTGGGGCCGTTCTCGTTACCCCGGTGTTTTTTTTTCGTTGCAGAAGAGCAACACCATTATTCATCTCTATCCGCAGGCAATAGAAAGTTCACTATAAATATACTTGAATGGCATTCACAGCTGTGCAACGTATGAGTCCAGCTGAAACCACCTCGAAAGCAGTTAATTATGTAGTTGATTACAGTGCGTCCACAGCAGTGTTACGTGACCAACCTGCCCCCGACTCTCAGCGTTTGTGCTAGTATTTTATTAATAGTGTAATCAAGTATTCTTATTTGTTCACCGCGATGAGGTTGTACTTGTTTCCGACCCGCTCCTCTCTGCTCTGTGTACTACAGTATTACTGGGATGGGATGCACTACATCCACATGCGCTGCAGTAGCTACAGCAGTAACATGCATCGCCACGACAACGGTTCTGTCTGTCTGTCTGTCTTAGCCTTGCCGTAGGCTTGACGAACACTAATGTGACGGGAAGGAGGAGGTAACCCATTCAGGTCAGAACAATTTCCAACGCCTTGATGCAACGTCAAACAACAACTCCCCAACACAGAACTACCCCTTTGCAGCCACGGCCTCCGAATTACTTCGATGGCCAGAAGGCGGCCATCTGCTCTCTCTCTCCGAACTCTTACAACTCACGTCCGTGTGGTGTACATCGGTGGCATGCAGCTTCTCCTTGTCGAGCAGGTAGCCCGTCTCGCCCCTGGCGCCCTTGGACTTCTTGCTACGCCAGTTCCCATACCCTTTGCGGAAGTCCGCAGCCTGCGGTATTCAGACAAAATATAGCAGCACGGGGAAGGGACAGCGACATCGCCAAGCGCAGCAAGCAGCCGCAGCAGAAGACGCAGCGGAGAGTTTAAATTTTAGTTTCCGCCAGCAAGAGCCTTCGGCGAAACCATGGTGAAAAGGCGCAGCGTTCATCAGCGGCATGCTCAAGGGTTGACACATTAACCCTGCACTCATTGATCGGTACCAAACCACAGGGTGGAGAGTCGGATAGAGACTGATTGCGGCACTGGCGTGCTACTTGTATCACCGTCCTGGTGATGCTGCTGTCGCTGTTTTCGGAGGTGCAAATCGCGACCAAAAATAGCCAGCCACACCAAAAACATGTGCGAAATAAGAACATGCACAGCAGCGCTTAACTAACTACAGTAAAGTCGATTGCAATTACACTCGGCATCCGACACGCATGCGGTCAATCCACCCGCGAGGGAGAACAGAGGGGGGGAGACATCATTGTATGCATCAGAACCAACGCCTCTCCATGGATGCGCACATATATGACGAAATCACGCCGCTGTGTCCCAACAACAACTTCCCGAGCCAAAAGGCGGGGAAACCGTGTGGATTACGGAGACGCGATGTGGTAGCGATACCAGAGTGCACAAGCCTCCGGGATACGCAAGCCGACGCACCAAAAAAGCAACCATAGAAGCAGTCCCGCTACAGCAGTAGTAACCTCACCACGTCGAAGCCCAGGGGAAATGGAAAGTACACGACTATTGATGCACCCAGACTGCCGAATCATGATGATTTTCGAGGCAAAAAAGCAGCGGGTGTGCAGAAAATACAACACGACAAAGAAAGAACTGCCCTGCAGTGCCGCAACAGCCCCCGGGGCGGCAGCGAGGCTCCGGGGTGGCGCCGAAAGCAGGCCCGAGGCCAGGAGAGAGCCCGTGCCCTCTGGCCACGGCAGACAAATCGAACCCGTGAAGCTTCCCTCCCTCCTCCCCCCCAAGCCTCACAAACACCATGATGCCCGGAATAACTCCGGCATACCGTACACACTCAACAGCTCCCAGACGCACGGCCCATCCGTTCCAAGAGAGGAGAGAGCCCACAACGCACGCGGGTCAGTGCGAGCGCGCGTAGTACGCAGCGTCGGATCTCTCGCGTCCCTCTCTGTCACGTACGCGCTACTTCTCTGCCTCTAGCATCATCATCTGTCTGTCTGTCTGTCTGTCTGTCTGTCTGTCTGTGTCTCTCACCTTCTTGCGGAGGACGAGCGGGTCCTCGGTGTCCTGCTTCGCATACAGCTCGTGAATTTTAGCACTGGTGATGAGATTCAATCCATCGATGAAGTCGGACATACTGCCGACAATCTCTCCAGCTGAACGGGCTCCTCTGCTTGCTTAAAGACACCCCCTCTTCTTGTATCTCTCACACTGCCGCTGCCGCTGCTGCTGGGGTAGGTATGTATCAACTAGGATTGTGAAAATGTCCGCTTCGCTGCGCGGGGTCTCCCGCAGCTGTCGCTGGATGGAAAACTAACTTTGGAGGCGTTTGCAAAAATAATTTTCCCGGAACGTTTGGCCGGACCAGTCAGATTTATCGAGGTAATTTCCAGCCCTCGCGGCGCTTTCGCCGACCGATCATACAACATGTTTCCAACAATCAACACAACAATAACAATGGCATGGATGCATGCACCGCCGGGTTTGCGCAGGCCGTGCTACCTATTTCCCCACATGCAATGTTAACAAGAGGGAGGGGTCATAAATAATCCAATGGCTTCTTCCTTGATTTACAAAGTATTGCAGTCGTCGATGTCCGATTTCCCCGAGAAGAAAGACACGAGGAGCCTCGCGCAGAAGTAAAAGCGGTTCGCACTTGGTGCTGGCGCGTTCTAGCTGTCCATACACGGTGCTGCATGTGTTGGTACAGCCAAGCGTCTCCCACAAGCAGACGTTGGACCGGCTTCATGTGCATGCATATTCCAAAGCAACGCACGCGTTTTGCAGCGTTAGTTCACGACTTCGCTCCAACCCCAAGCATCTAAACAGAAAACACAAGACTCAGATCAGTCATGGGGTAGACTATGTAGTCTATCCCGCATTATTTACCCACAATTCAGTTTTGGAAACCGACCACCTCCACCAATCAAGTCTCTCACGACTCGATGCATTGGACCCGCCTTCATTTGGCGAGTAACGCCCCCCCCCCCCCCAACCCCCCCGGGGGGAAGGAAACCAAGCCCCCCCCGGGGGACCCAATTCCAAATAAAAAGTAAAAAACCCCCTGGTGCGGGGGGGAAGG